TTGGTGTTTGATTGTCTTTGGCAGATAGTCGTTACAGCAGGTTTAACTGTATTTCAATATTGTTTGCTCCATGTACTGAAAGTGGTCTTGGTTTTCCATGTCATGTCTAGGGTGACTGATGATCTTTTCTTCCTGGGGCTGATATTTCAGTTACCAACTTTTTGTTCTTCGTGTAATATTATCAACTGGTTTTTTTTCTTTCTTTTTCATTCAATTTCATTTATTTAATTTTTTTTTTTTTTATTGATTCATCTTTCTCTCCCCTTCAGGTGTACTCAATCCCCATCAGCGGTATGCTTCAGCGCATGCCTTTCACCACAGGGGGTTCAGGCAGCACATACCTGTACGGCTACGTGGACGCTCACTACAAGCCAAACCTGAGCAAAGAAGACAGTCTACAGTTTGTCTCTAACTGTGAGTTGTTTTGTCTGCTGCCGCTGTGGGTGATTGATTGGTCCTCTCGTGTTGTCTGCTGCTTCTTTTATATTGGTGCTGCTCTTGTGGCGACTGGGTCAGGGTTTGTTTTCGTACAACTGTTTGTCTGTGTGCATCTGTTTGTGTAAATTAATGTGTGTGTCGATGAGTGTGTGTGCATGTATGTTCCACAATGCCGCAGCAAATTTCTCTTGGTGGGGATCAATGAAATCTGATCTTATCTTCTACTTCTCTTCAATGTTACTTTTTGACCTCCTCTTTTTCTGACAAAGTCTGACTTTTGTTGTGCTGACTCACTGTGTGAAAACATAAAAATACAGCTGAGGGGAGAGGGAGGTCTCATGGTGGAAGGGTGAAGAATACTAACAAGGCACTGAGCTGAAGCAACAAGTAGTGTTGCATTTAGGGAATTATGTGTAATGATGTCATGGTGTGTACTTACGGTTTTGAAATTTATTCGTTATTTACTGTAGAGACTGGTTGCAGTGCTAAGTTTCTGACAAAAAAATGTTTTGACGATTCCAAAACAGTGTGAAATGAGAATAGTCTATAATTTGAATGTGCTTTCGTCCCGTCCCTCCTCTCTTATGTATCTCCTCACAACACCTGCTCTAGACTTGTTGTTTCAAGGTATGAAATCTTTCCCGACCTCCTGTGGGTAGTGGATGGTTTGTGGGTGCTCTTGTGTGGTTTGCTTCTTCTTTCCTATGGAACATCTATTGTCCTTATCTCCCCTCCTTCTTTTTTGTGTTTGTTACTCTCTTGTAACACCTCTAATCTTCGGCACTTATACAACCTTATTGTGTTGCAAGTGCCGTAAAAGACTTACTAAAACTAAACTTTCCCATCCTCCATTCTCCACTCCTCCTCCCTCATCCCCTCCTGGTCTTCCCTCACATTATTGAATCCTCCATCCCCTCCCTGTTCCCCAGCTGTGGCGCTTGCCATGAGCCGTGACGGGAGCAGCGGTGGCATTATACGACTGGCGGCCATCACGAAGGACGGAGTGGAGAGATTCGTCCTCACAGGGGATCAGGTGCCCAGCTTCTACGAGGACAGTTAGTCAGTGAGGACAACATTTAGCTGATATACTGCGATCTACTGCATACTGGGACTCTGTTTGTGGCAGTGTTGTAGAGTGTGTGGGGAGATGTGTGCTTGAAGATTGTAAGGATCTAGAATCATGAATGTATGATGAGTTCTCTATCATAGTTTTCCTGTTTTCTTGTTTTTGTTGTACGAAGGAACCAATAAAACTATTGTCCTTTTTTCTTTGTTACTTTTGCACAAAGAAGGAACAGAGTAAAAGACTTGTGGTTGGGTTTTTTCTTTTGTACTGGGTCTTTTGTAAGTTGTAGATGTGTATGTATGCGAAGTGCTTGAAGACATTTGGGGAATGTGGGGACTGGTAGAAATTTAGAAAGACTTCAGGGGGTTCTGTCCTGATGTTCTTCATTTGTTATTGAGTTTGCGTCCTTTAGTACTTGTACTGGAAAATGAGTGTGATAACACTGTCAGATTTTGTCGCATCTAAATGATGTTATGTGAGGAGGTGTGTTAACTGCTCTTGACACTTGAATGCTAATTCAGCCAATTTATTTTGTCAAGCACTAATCCAAGTTCAAAGATGGGTCTATCTTGCTTTTAGGGCTTAAAATAATGGTTTTGATAAGGTAATATGCGTAAATGCAAGTGACAAAGTAGTTATGCTTGTGAGGAAGTTCCCCATTGTGTTGCATGAAATTAGGCTTATGAGACCTAATGGATTTTTCTCATCAATTCCTGTATGATTTTGTCATTGAAGTTTGTCGAATAAAAATGTTCACAGTTATTTTGACTTTCTTGTTCAACTCAATGTGAATGTTAGTACTTAGTAGTCCATCTTTTCTGTCGTCTTCTCCATCCTCAAATGTGGTGTAATTTTTGGGTTTTCATCCTACACTTAGGAAATAAAAGTTTGACAGTCGTGTAGGAAATTGTATTTTATTGAGTACTGTCGAACCTGATCTGGCAGCCACCTGTCCAATCAGCAATCACCTGTACATTTGTGGCGTCTGTGGCCTAGTGGTTAGGCTACCGGACTCGTAATCGTGAGGTTGCAGGTTTGGGGGTTCGAGCCGCAGGCCCAATGTTGTGTCCTTGGGAAAGACACTTTACACGAATTTTCCCCACTTCACCCAGGTGGGAATGAGTACCCAGCTATAGATAGTGAAAGATCTTGTCAGTTTGTTAGTGTTTGAGGGCTTAGCAAACTGCTTGCACTACATGCTTCCCAGGAAGCTGAGAATGGCTCTGAGCGTTCTATGGTCTGCTGGGGTAACAATAGAGTGTAAAGCGCATGGGGCTTGCTTTCGAGTGGGGACATGCGCTACACTAATGCTATTTATTATTCACATTACGCCCAACAACTTCACACTTTCCACTTGAGTTTTTTTTGTGTTTTATAATTACACTGTCCCAAACTTCCACCTTTCATGGGTGGTTGGTGGGTGCTCTGGTGTGATTTGCTCCTTCTTTCCTATCAACAAACATCTATCATCCTGATCTCTCCTCCTTTTTGTGTTTGTTACTCTCTTGTAACACCTCTTATCTTTGGCACTTATATAATCTTATTATGTTGCAAGTGCCGTAAAGCTCTTACGGAAAAAAAATCCACCTTTCTAAGACAACCGACCACTTTTCTGCTGCTTGGACAGTGGGTGACCATCTTGGATAATATCTATTCTTTAGTTTTAGTTTTAGTAGAGGTTTTATGGTGCTGGCAACT